GTCTATGCCTGAAGATTGCTTACCATTGCTATCCCTTGTTGCTGGTCTCTTTTTAACTAGATCATGCGGTTTTTGCAACTTGTAACTAGTGCTTGTTACCTTAGAGCCTTTATCTTGTTCAAAGTAGAGGATCTGCACCACTGTTCTTAATGGAAGAAGATCATTTTTGACTGCATGTGCACGTGCTTCTGAGGACAGTCTTCGGCAGTCTAGAATCTGACACAAGCGCTTCTTCTCAACCTTGCTAAGGTCAGGATGCACCTGTTTATGCAATGAGGTTAAACCACATCATGAAACATGTAATGTAAAAACTAAAAATAGCTAAGGAATAAAAGTTAACCTCTATATTGCTTATAATGTGATTTAGGTACTTTTTTTATTTGTCTTTTGATGAGAGCACTGTGTGAAGTTTATAATGTTAGAATCTCTAGTTCCTCAAGAAGTGCTTATAATGTGATTTAGGACTTATGAATGATATTCATATTTCTAACATAGACAAAGTTTAAGACACTGCAGATATTGTATAATTCACCTTAAGATAGATGTTAATTGCCTGGTACAGATCATCATGCTCTAATCGACCGATTGCTGGTACAGTTTCCGAAAGAGCTACAAACTTTGACACTGGCATGTTATCATCCCTTGCAACCACTTGAAGATAGGAATCAATGAGCTTGCCAACATTTCTAATTGATCTTAAAAAGTTCCTGTTATCTACTACACCAGAGAACATCCTTTTCCAAAGCTTCAAGAAACTTTCCAATACAGCTAGAACTAACTCTACATAAAAATTCTGGTCATAAAGCAAGTCACTCAGTGTTGCCTCATCAAACTGTATACTGGCTCTCTTTATTAGTTCATTTTTCGTCACCGGAGAGACTCCAAGATGGCTTGAAATGCTGAGAAGTCTTAACAAGAAGCCAATTGAAACTGACCCTCTGTCCTCAGGAATCAAGCTTACAATTGTTTCAAGAATTTTTCTATTTTTCTCAGATTCTTCTGTTTGTAATGATGCAGAAGTGCATGAACTTTTAAGCATTGTGACGCCAGGTAGCATCTTACAGGCATAGACATGCAAAGCTTCACCAATGAGCTGTGATGGGAGCACATATATTGATCTAATAGCCATTATGATGCACCGGAAAAAATCGATGTTAAGATCACACACATCCTCAGTCCACCAATCCTTTGGCACAGAATGACACTGTTTTCTGCTATAACCAGGCCTAGTGTAGGTGTAGGACCATCTAACCTGCACAGTAAAAAAATATTATAAGCAAAATTATGAAATATCCTAAAGTAATAATCTTTGAAATTTGTGGAAGTTTGATATAGTCTTGAGTTCTTGACCTGTGATGGGGGTGTAATAACTTTCTCAACAATTGAATCAATGCACTTTCTTGTTATGCCAAGATTCTCAGACCATTCTGGTAACTTAACAGTGGTCTGCAGTGTCACAATGGAGTCCTTCCAACCTTCAAGAATGCATGAACTGAAGAAAGCCTCAAGTTTCCCTACAAAGTTTCCTTTCTCAGTGGACTCATTCATTTGGAGGAACTTAGCGGCACAGAGGGTGGATAAAATGTTATAAGCACTAATGTGTATTGAAATTCCATAGCAGAACTTTGCACAGAGTTCAAAAGCATCTGCCCCTCCAGGCAGATCATGTAGCTCTATAGAAACACTCTCAGAATCATTTGAGTCATAGCAAATGTTTTGTAGAAGGCCACATTTTCGAATAAGTGGAGACTGCAGCTAACAAAAGCAGAATTATAGATGAACCAAGATTCAATTTTTTTACTTTTTTTTAACACATTGCACTCAATATAATTCCAATACCTTGTGTAGCAGATAACTAATAACGTTGGTTTTTATCACAAGGTTGACAGATAAATCTGAAACCACAGTTCTGCATGTATATGATAGTACATGTTAATTTGTGATATATATATATTAGGGGGAAATTAAGCTATATACTGCTTTTTTACCAATGATTCATATGAATACCTGGTAGCTTGTTCAGTGAAGAAAGTATCTGGCCTTGTACCAAGTTTCATGAACTTCATATCTGTTTGTTGTAATCTGTAACCCAATGATCAAGAAAATATTCTACTTCAAAGCCTGCATAATTTCTTAAGACTGCAACTTCAATGATACTACAGATCCTATAAAGTCAAGGCTTTCATTCTATGTACCCAATTACAGGTGAATCAAAAGGGTTATCCAAATATTGATGAACATGCTCAGATTAATTATAGCATGTTGTTGGACCCATTCGCGACTGTTTAGCCTTCGACTATTGGAGAGTCCCATTGTTACCGGGCATGAGAAGAGTGAAGAGTTATAAATGAGACCCCAAAGTTTGAACCAAAACCGCAATGGTTTCACAGGCATTTTCACTTATAAACTCTTCAACTCATCCCCTCATATTTAATCCACACATATACCCAACACATGTTTCATGACCATGCAACACAAAAAAATGCAGCAGTAATATAATTTTCAAGTAAAAAAGTTAGAGGGATCCTGAAACAGATATCTGCAATAAAGCCTTACCTTAACTCTCTAGAACATGGGATCCTGAAACCTTATTGATTTGGTAACTCCCAAAGCCTTTTAAATTCATAGAAAAAATGCAAAACAATAAATTAGAGTTTCTGCCATCATGCACTGAGAAAGAATCTGCAGAATAGTAACTAACTGCTTAGAGAGTAATGCTAGATGCCATGCAATAATGTAAATTTGTCTCTACTCTAGTACCTTTTGGAAGTTGGTTCAAACTTCAAAATCTGAATTAAATTGGTGTAGCTAATTGAAATTATGTGAATGCAGCTTTATATCACTAACTTATATATAACTGAAGAACTTGAGAAATTGAGAACTAATGAGTGATGATACAATACTCATATACTGTTTTGTTACAATTTTTTAGAAAGTAAAACAAAAGTTAGAAAAGGACAACGGAACTGAAAGTGGAGAATGCTAATATTAATAACCTTATACCATATTTTATCAAAAACAATATATCCTTATACCATAAATGTTACATACAGCACTGCATTTGAAGCTGTGCCTACAGTGCAAATTCCATAACAGTATATGATTTTCCCATTCCTCTCTAGTTTAAGTGACACTAAACCTATTAAGTGACTTGACCACAGGATAATCCAACCTTCATATTAGTGCTTTGGCCTTAAATTATATATTATTATATGAGAAATTATCCAAATAATCAGAGAAGTTTTTGATGTGGCATTCCATAATTCATAAGATTAAACATCTTTAAGGTAGTGCAGGCCTTGTCAAAAAATGAAGCTATCACTGTAAACAGCATCTTTTATAGTCAACTGTTCAATAGAGTACCTTAACTAAGAGTTTCTCTAGTCATAAGGCTTTTGTACCAAACTCTATTATCAATAAATATATTTATTATATGGTTAAAGCAGAAGCATGATTTGAACAGGACTTACACTTTTGCATGAATTAGCAATTTTTTGCTACTCCCAATTTCTTCAATGTTGTTTGGCCAAAAAGGTAATAAAAACATCAAAAACTGCTCTGAAGTATAATGCAGCAAACAGCAATAGTTGCATACATAAACATACAAGATCAACCTTGATCAATGATGTTTGGATAAAGAATAGACAGTGAAGAACATTTATTATGTATTTGGAGTTGGAAGATTAACAATTAGGTGAGACAGCTAAAACTATTGGAGCTTTTAAAGTAACTCACAGTTGGACGAAATATGTTGGTATTTAAGTGTGTGCATGAAAAGTCTCACGTTGGAAATGAGTGAACAATTTGAAGGCTATATAAATGGAAAGACCCATAAACCCAACTTTAGTGGCTGCTTGTGAAAAAGAAGGCTTGAGAATCCTTTTCCAAGTGTGTTTTATGGTTCCTCATTCTACTCCAAAAACTAACTCGCAAACAGACTTTAATATGTGGTGTCAAATTATTATAATCTTATGCTTTTTTTTGCTTATCAAATGTTTCATAAGATACTTATAATTCCATATATATAAGGATAAGGATACATGAATGTGTTAAGGAACTTTGATATATAAACTAATATAAACTTTTTCAATTAGTCTGTGACCAAAAGCTTCCTAATAGAAGGCAAGTATCATTAAAAGTTTGTGAGGTTACTTTGTTTAGTCACTTTCTCTGTGTTCAATGAACTTTGATATATAAACTAATATAAACTTTTTTCAATTGAAACTTATAATTGGCCAACAGTGTTCCTATCCTGAAGTATAGTCTTCTCAAGCATCACACACTCCATCAAAAACAAGAAAATTGGAGGCCAACTTTTTCATCCTTCTTCCTTTGTTTCTCTTTTCCTTCCCAATTTTATTCATGTAATTATTGAAAGAGCTCTACATTAGTCTCATAAAAGCAACATATTAGAAAAGTTTTATATGAGAATTGTTTCAAACCTATTATGTACCATCCATTTGCTGAAGTCTAATATGCAGCTTGGTCTGCTCTTTCACAGACAAATATAGAGGATAAAGCAAAAAACAGTGTTTGTGGCACATGATATATTGCTTTTAATAAGACAGAAGAAAAGCCCTTCATGTTTTTCTCCAAAATAAGATAGATAGCATCACAGGCCTTACAATGCACTTTTTTCTTAGAGGCAATTACTCTCACAGATCCCAATTCCATGATCATAACCAAAATTTGGAAAGTGTATAGTTATTAGTTAATGTCAGCTAGCTTTGTCTATAGAGAATCATTGACATCCCTATTTGATTATTAGATTACATTCAGTAAGGTATTTAGCCAATGACATGAAAACACTCTTCAAGATTTGATAAAGTTCTCTACACTAGTTACCATCATCTCAAAGGTGTTATCATTTTCCCTTTGTCACTTTTCTCTTGGATTTTTATAAGCAGGACCTTCAATGTGATGCTTTTCTCACAATTCATTTTTTTATATCTGACAAAAGTGATATTTATCTTTTATAACAGAATGAAAAAAGCACTTTAAGCTTTAATTAGTTGTAGAGTGGTAAGTCAAACAGACTACTACACTCAAATTTATCTCTAGTCTCTTCTAGTCCCTAGTTATCTCCCTATGCTAGTAGAATTAGGCCTTTCATCAAGCACCTAAGAAATGCATGCATTGGAAATGTCTAAAGAGTTTAAAAAGGTTAACTAAGTAGAAAACATACCCGTGAACATATTATTGATGCTACTTTGGAAGCAGAAAAGTATTCACAAGTGAAAAAGCTGCTTAGTTTTGAGGTAACTGTACAAACTGAAAAAGGTGGAAGCACCAAAATTTCAAGTGAAGCCAGATATATGGTGGCCTAAAATTAGATGCAAGCATATATATTCATCAACATTTGAAGCTGGAAAGTGAATACTTTTGTAGTGTCATGCAAATAAATCTTTGAAGATATAAATTCTTGATGGGATTAGTCAACATAGTAATGTATCAGAAACATGCTATGATAAACTTCTTTGAATAATAAAGTTTTTCACTTTTTTGTACAATCACATTTGGACATCATTTGATGTCCCTTTATGTTTCTTATACTTTTGAAACACATATGTATATAAGAAATAAAAAGTAAGAGATAAAAAATTTATAATAAAGGAATGCTAATGAGTGCTCTTAGAGCACATTTAAGAAATCCAAGATAGAAATATTATATTGGAAAATTGTGTATTCTAATATGTTGAGAGTTTAGAAACCCATTATTTGAAATACAATGTTTCTTATTTTTTAGCAAAACTGTTGTATATCTTATCAAATAAGATGTTGAAATTTTGATATTAAACTTACTGAGACTATTCTTTGAACAGAATATATAATGTAACAGAAGAGGAAAAATGAAAAAGCTTGCAATGCAAGTGAGTTTTGGCATTGTAATGGTCCTATAGTAATTGAAAAGAAGCTAGTGTGTGGGGCTAAATCTCATGTACTAATACATCCACTATATCATGCTTCCCCCCACTAAACTTTGGAATATTCTTATTCTACTTAGCCCTATGCCGTTTGTTACATAACCCTGATGTGATTTTTCTTACTTCTCACTATTAGACATATAAAAGTTGATGAAACTAACACTTTTTGTATTTGATGTTACATATGTGAAGTAACTTCATTCTTAACATATGGATAATATATATTTATGTGTTGACAAAAATTATTCATGTTAGTTTCTCAAATCTTATTTATGATATTCACTTTAATCTTTGGTAAGGACTAAAGTAAATAACTTTTGTCAATTCTATGGATGATTGTGTAATTTCGATAATACCATTGGTGCATGCCACTTATTTTTTTGGAGAAATAATTGAAGATGTCATATTGGAGCTTTAATCCTTGCTTTTCTGATAAAAAGTTATATTCATGACCCTTAAGCTGAAAGAGGATATGCTAACTATTAACTTAAGAGACTTTTGCACTAAGCAGCAAGAATGTGTGTAAAAGAATGGTTTGTTTTTTATGTCAATCTTAGATGGCTAGAACAAAAATGTATATACATAAGCTGAGACCAATTTCCTTGACTACTTTTTTTGGTATAAATTCATCTGAAATGATGTTGTGACCAGAATCTGATGATGAGCATCATGATCTTAATAACATGATCATAATAATAGTGATCATCATTATAATCAATTTCTTTTGAGCTTTATAAATGAGATGTTATTATTTTTATGCAGTGTCAAGCTAATCTTTGAACTGACCATGTGCCTTTTCATGAAGATAGTTAGTCATTCTTCTGTGAATCCAATTACCAAAACCATTTGTTTATTCTGCATGCAGCACTTCAATTTTATATAAGTCTTGAACTCAATTTTATATGCAAGGAAATATTTCCAAATATAATTTAATTTGATTCAGGATTATATTAAGTTATGACATATTGACATATATGCATTATATTAATTTTCAGGAGATGAGTCATATACTCATTACTTGAGTACTCAATTCAGCTACCTGCCTTTCTCTCACATCTCATACTTATTGTTTGATTAGATTTATTAGTTTATTTATGGCTTTATTTACTTGGTATTCAAATATAATCTGCATTGAGTTTGAGGCACTTCTGGACATATTGTTAACTCCCTCAAATGTCTTAAGTATAATTATCCTATGTTTTACTGAAAACTATATTACAATAATAACCAAATCTTAGTTTTATTAGATGAAAATTACATATTAATGATTTAATTAACCTTATGTTGGTTGTTAATCTGTCTACTAAGTGTACTGGATTAATTTCATAATAGTTGATGATTATGTGTTATCATCATCTTAGGCCTTTGATCATAAAACATCAATATTTGGGTGTTTGAATAATATAATTTCAGTGAGGTAGGCGAACCTTTGAGTTTATAGGAACTCATCTACCTCAATCATTCTAGTTTTGTTAAGATTCTCTAATTGTTTTTTTTTTCTTTTTTGTGCACAATGGTGCTCAAATGATTGTTTATAAATGTAGGATTTACAACATTACAGACAACACATTGAGCTCAACATGTATTATGGTAAGTTTTATAATTAAAGACTGTTTAGACCACATTAATCTTCCATTAACCAATTTGGGTCACTAAATCTCTAAAAGATTTGTCATGTTGGAGGAAAGAAGTGACAAGTAAAGCAAACGCTACCAATTTGTTTTCTCATTGCAGCACCTGCATGTCAAATCCTATTTCCAAAAAATCATACAGAGAACTTTTTGAAAAGAAAACAATGTTTTGTAGAAAGTTTATCATTCATGTTCTTTCCTCCTTCATTGAGCAACTAACTGGAATACAAGGCTTACAACATTTCCGAATCTTGGGTTTGTTGAATTTGTCATTTATCTAATGTTATATCTGAATTAAGCTTCTAAACATAACTGGACCAGACCCCTCACATAAATGCCAGACAGGGTTACAAACAAAACCACTAAAAAAACCCTTCACTAGCAAGGGTTAGAAACCCTTGGTAATTTGGCTGAACATGCAATCATCAACAGCTTACATCTTCTGCAAGATCCTATGAAGTTAATTTGGCATGATATTTATTTCACAAAATGCGTGTACAGCAACATAATTAACTGGCAGCATTTCAATTTGTTTTCAACTCCCTATGATTTTAAACTCAAACAGAACTACCACAATTCTATTCCATAATCCGGTGATCTGCAGGGGTTCAAATAATCAACCAAACAAATCATCATCATCGTCTCCATCAACATTGCTTGGATTACTATCCGATTTTCCACTTAATGCATTCCCTTCTCCATCATCCTTAGCCAGAGGATCCCGTACACCGGTACTGACTGATGAATATGCCCAGGAAGATCCAACTTTGACAGGTACAGATTCTCCATAAAGGTCATCATAAATCCCAGTTTTCGGTTGGGTTTTGACCTTTTTTAAGACTTCTTGTAGTTTATCGGTCACACCTCTATGGGGAAAATCTGACTCCTTAACAGTGGGCTGCTCTTTTCCCTTTGGTATAACAGTAATTTGTACAAGAGACTCATATTTACCGACAAGACTTCCTTCTTTAACACCAACTGGACCAGGTTCTGTTTCTACGTCGGCACCATCTGAAATTCCAACAACCTCAACTAACTCTCCCCCGACTTGATCCCTGAAGGCAACTCTTGCCTTCCTAATTCTCTTAGCAGCTCTTTCTGATTGGTTATCCTTATCGTTGCCACTTGTTGAGCTACCAGACTCACTAGATTTGGATACTAGATCAGACTTGTTGATGCCATAACGATTTAGAAGTGTATTATAAGCAACAACAGCTTCTTCGTCAGATGGGTCAGGGGGTGGTGGGAAATTTATCCCCTTAGGCAGCGAAGGACGAGGGAAAAGAGCAGCCTCGTTCTTTCTTAATACGTATGATCTTGTTGATGCAGCAAACCGCAAAGACTGCCCCACTTCAAGCTCAACTGGTGAATCCTTAGTCAACCGCTCATTTGCAACAAATGTACCATGTGCAGATCCCAAATCAATTACGTACACACTGTAAAAAAAATCATTAGTGACAATAAATCACAATTCCCAAGAGGGTTACCAAGTTCAAGAAGACATAAACAAAATAACAAGAAATATCCATCTATGCACTCCAGGACATAGCATGCCTCTGCCATTCAATCATGAAAGATAATTGGTTATTTACTCATTTTCCCGTCAAAGTCCCCTTGTGCCTAGTTGAATCGTCAATATCTAATTTTCAAATTATATTTACTTTTAATATCTAAAAACCAAATATGAAGCTCCTGAGTTATCTGTAAATCATCTTTATCAGAGGATGATTAACAGAAACTAACATGTTGGAATACATTCATTTTTAGGCAAGTTAATCAGAGAATATAGTGCAGGTAAAAAATTACAGTATAATTATACAGAAAGCAGTGAATCCATTCTAGTAATATCAAAGATGATAAGTATTAGGGGAAAGTTTTAACCTCCCATTCTTGTGAGGAACGACAGCAGCATGTTGACGAGAGACAGATTGATGATCAAGCACAAAATCACAAGTCTGGACTTGCCTCCCAAAGAGATTCCTCCGTCTGTCCAGATTAATCCGGTCCAACACCACGCCATCCTTCAAAACTTCCAAGTAAAAAACACCCAGCCGTGGTTCAATAGCCCAATCCGGCGGGTGCCATGTTGATTGCCCTCCTCCAATCTGTGTTGCCGGCTGAGTCTGCCCCAACAACGGGGCCGCTTCCACTCCTACCGCTTTCTGAGAAGCATGTTGCTGCGGCGGTTGTAGGGATTGGTGGAGAGAATTTGGAGATTGTGGCGGCCAAGCAGAGGCATTACCAACTAGTTTACTAGAGGGATGTGGACCACTAGCAGTTCTTGAAGATGAATTGACTGCAGAAACAGAGAACGGTTCCAAAGTCTGAGCTTTCTTAAACCTATCAAGTCCTGATGATGCTCTTCCATACATTCTCTCTTCAAATGGATTTAGTGAATGAGCCCCCCTTACAGTATGAGCTCACTAACAAGTTGAATCACAATGCCACCATCACATCAAAAGAAACAACTAAGCAAGCAATGTTCACAAAAACCCATTTGTTCCAATCAAAGATCATGCACAAAATCTCTCTGTGAAGAAACCCTAAAATGTTAGGTTGCAAAAAAAGGGACCAAGATATAACAACAGAGATTTGTTAAAAACAAAATAAACAGCAAATGATAATTAGAACACAAATGGGTAATAAAAAATAAAAAGACATGATTCATTGTACCCTAGAAAAATAATGTGGCATGAAATTGGGGAGAAATTTAGCGGGAAATATAGATATAACCAAAACAGATAAAAATAAAAATGAAGTGCAGTTAGCAAGTGATACCGAATTCTAGAAAATGAAACAAATTTAGCTTAATTGATAGACTAATTGCTAAAAATCGGAAGTTAGGGAATCACACCAGTTAGGGT